CAAGAATTTCACCAAAATAGCCATTAATGAAGGAATCAGAGGAATGATCCTCCATTTCTAACCAAGCATGTGCTCTCATCTATATAGAGTTCGAAKAAATATAATACATCGTTTCCGTTATTGTAAAGCTCATAAATGGGGGGGGGGGTAGAATGGACTCATCCGAGTTCATCTCCTTCGACCAAAGTATGATTCATCTAAAATAGCTATTTTTATCTAGGTATTAAGACTTGAGGCATAAACACAATATTTATATAAGTATAATGATTTTAACGGTAAAAGTGGACTCACCTGCTGCTGTTGTGCTGCGCGTGAAAGGGCAGAAAACACGCAGCCAAAGCTGCTGTTTTGGCGAGATGGCGAAGAAAACCGTGGCTTTTGGCCACTGTTTGCTGCTGCTGTGGTTGTTGTCGGAGACGAACGAAGGACGCAGCAGCTTGCTGCTTGCTGCTGGTTGCTGCTTGACAGACGGCACGAAGGAGGAACGGCAGCGGTGTTGCTGGTGCTGCTGCTGCAGGTCGCGCAAAGGAACAACAAAAACGCAGCACTTGCTGCTGCGGGTTCCTCGTTGCTGTTGTTGCACGCTCGACAGCAGTCTGCTGCTGCTGCTCGTCAGCACCCGGTACTTTYGTTGCTGCACGGGAAAGGGATCGACAGTCCCTGTGGCTTCTGCTGCTGCTCGACAGCACACGGCGCTTCTGTTGCTGCACGAAAAAGGGATCGACAGTCCATGTGGCTTCTGTTGGTGCTTTGCTGACGCACGGTGATCGGGACGAAAGAAAGGAGCACAGCAGAACTGCTGTTAGAGTGGTCGAGAGTTAAGACAGCACAACAAGACCGTTGTTTGCTGCTGCTRCCCGAGGAAATTAAGAAAACACCGTCGTGCCCCCTCCTTGCTACCGCTGTTGTTGGATCGAAGGAAAGAGGAAGACGCAGACAGCAACCTGCCGTTGCTGTGCGTGCTCGAGACGAAACAGAAGGAGTAGAGCAGGGCTGCTGTTTGGCAACACAACACTGCCCCGTCTTGCTATAGTCGTTGATGGATCGAAGGGAAAGAGGAAGAACGCAAGCAACTAAGGACCCTTCCGACGAGTTCTTTCCAAACCGAGAATGAGATGGTTTCCCCCCCCCCCTTTTTCCTTTCTTGCTTAGGTACAAGCTCCCCTTACCTCTGTCCTCCTTTCACACTCCACCCCAGCCCTATGTCAGTATTCTCGGCCCTTCCCAAGGTGRGGAGAAACCCAAGTTTCCAACCTTCCCTTTCTTTTCTTATCTCTTTTCCCTTTCCCCACGGTTTTTCACTCAATATATGGAGGTTAATGACTTAAGTGGAAGAAAAATTCACAAGGCAAGGATGTGATGGAAAGGGTTGGTCAGAGTAGCTGTCAAACACCTTGCCTCTTTTTCTCTAGTTAAAAGGAAAGAAAGAAAAAAAAAATCAAACAATAATATATAAGTACATATATTATTATGCAACTACACACAATTTAACTTTACAAAAGAAGGGAAAATCCGGGTGTTACACAAGACATGACAGGACGGGACAAAACTCACTGTCCCATGTTTGGTGCAGCATGGGATAGAACAAGAACTCACTGTCTCACATTTGGCGCGACATGTGACAGGGACAAGAATTGGGACAACATGAGAGAAAAGAGGTTTTTTCTTGTTCCACCAAAATAGGTGGAACAAGATGGGACAAAAATGAAACAGAAACTAAAATATTATTAATCTACCTTAGTTTGATATATAACCTTAATATGTATTTGTTTTAATGGTCATCACCGCTAGTTTCGGCCGCCACCACTACTGGCAGTCACCGGCGGCCACCTCCACCTCCTCTTCCACTACAACAACATCCTCCACCGCCTCCACAACCATCGTCCACCAAGTCCCTTGCCACCTCTACCATAGTCGACCATAGACCACCATCGTCTATTGCCACCACCACTACCGCCGCTTGCCACCTTCAACTCCTCCTCTACTGCAACAACCTCCTCTACTACAACAACCTCCTCCACGACCACCACCGGCCACCACCATTCATTGTCACCTCACTTCCACCATAACCACCACCACTATCTTCACTACATCAACCACAACTACCTCCTCCACCGTTGTCAACCGCCACCACCACCATAATCTACCATCTTCATGTCCTCTATAACCACCATTGTCCACCAAGCACCACTGCCTCTACCTCCATAACCACTGTCGGCCACCGACCACCACTGTCCTTTGCCACTACTACCGTCGACCACCACCATCTCCAATAACCAAAACCACCTCCACCACCACCACCATTACCATCAATTGTATCAAAATTTTCATTCCAATTTGGTACAAATATGAAAATTATGTACAAATATTTACAAATTAAATTCTTTAATTATTTACTTTATTTGTGTTAATTATAACTATTATTTAAAATTATCAAATAACTTTTGGAGGTAGCTTGTCTAGTTCTGTCCCGTCTAGTACTAGTCGTACCAAATACCAGACATACTCCTGTTATGTCCAGTCCTGTCCAGTCCTACCCTCTTGTCCTGTCCTGTCCAGTTTTGTCCTGTTCAATTATGTCTGCATACCAAACGCTACTTAAAAGACGAGAGAGAGAGAAAAGAATTTGACGATTAATCATTTATGATTTATTTAAGTATTTTAATTATATTTGAATAAAAATAATCTCTTTATATTAAAAATAATTTAAAAAATAGGGACCGTTGAAATTAGATGAAAGAAAGTTATTCCTTCCTTGCTATTAATCTATTTCCGGAAGATATATGTATAAAAAGCATCCTTTTTTAAAGTTTGGCCCCCGATATTTTCTTTCTTCTTAAGTAAAGACACGTCACCAAAACAAAATACAAATTTAATATATATATATATATATATATATATATATATATATATATATAAAGGAAATTGACTAAAATAAATAATCTCTCATCTCTGTTTATTTTTTAGGGGCTGTTTATCAAAACACTTACCCGATAAGCATCTAGCGGTAAAATTCAACACTATCATTTACTTATTAGGTAAGATTTTAGTCAACAAAAAACGACTTTGTATGCAATAATTACCCAGTAAGAGCTAACCGTGGTAAGAGTCATTGCTCTCACTTATCGGATAAGACTCTAGGTCCTTGACTCGCTCTTACCGGGTAAGATTTATGGTTCATCCCCTCAACCAATGTGAGATCTTACAATCCACCCTGTTGGGAGCCCAACATCCCCCCTGGTACACTAGTCTCGTTCTCGACTCCGATAACCATGACATTCCAGGCCAATCGTACCAGATATTGTACGCTTTGTCCACATACCTTGACTCACGATTTTAAAATACGTTTGATAGAAAATGTATCAAGCCTCTTATAAAACAACATTTCTTCCCTTCTACAACCAATGTGGGATCTTACAACTAAAGTTAGTTTCTACGTATGTCAACAAATTTAATAAGGCCCTGAAAATTATAGACGGGAAACCTTCAAAACAGAAGGATTTAGTGGTTCATCTTGTCACTTATACAGTCTTGATTGATTCATGCAGGTTTTCACCATTCAATCTGAATAAAAAGCTTATGAGATAATTTATTGAAATGCTACTTTGAGTAATGTTTTCAGAACTTATTCTCATATTTTTCAGTTATACCTTTATTAATATTAATTATTATTATTATTAATTATAAATAAATATTGATTATTACTAATACTAATAAATACATTAATATCAATTATTAGTT